AAATCATCCAGTAAGTTTTATATTAAAAAAAAAAAGATAGGAGCCAGGTAATATCCCAATTTTTTTTTTTTTTTACCACATAAAGAGGTTTGTTTCCTTATATTAAAAATGGCATCAAGAAAAAAAGCCTAGTGGCTAAAAATACCACCTTTGCCCCATATTTTGTGGTTACAATTTGTGAGCATGTGTGTAATTGAAAATAAAAAGTGACACAGTCAAAACCCTAACAGAAGCAGAAAGAAGTAAAGCAGTACCCTACAATCAATCGAATGCTTCTCCCACATTCATGTTTATATAAACTGCCAGGCTCATCAGGAAAAGCATCATGATCAGCAGATGGCAAATGGTGACACAAGGCCCTGATAGAGGAAAGTATACACTTATAAAGATGTTTATAGGGAAGGATTTTTAAAACTTTACTTTTATTGAGAACACAGACAAGAATAACAGAGTGACATATGGAAAAGGCTACTGTTATCTGCTAGGCCTGAATTAAACCTTTCGGTGAGTAACTGCACAAGTTTTACTCTACCTGGTGAAATCTCAGTTTCTTTCATTGTGAAATGAGGTAGCTGCTATTTTCTCTAAACTCCTCAATAATTCTGGAAGATAGCAATCCTGAGATTACAGGACATGTTAATAAGTAGTAATAATGTTGATCATAAAAATAAACTTTAAATAACAATTGAAATATTGTTACTGTGCAAGTTTAAAATAAGAGGGACATAGGGCTCTTCATTACTGGCAAATATTAACTGCTTAATAAGAACAATAACAAGACCTTCAGCAGTTTTCCTCTTTGGCAAAATACATACAAATTAGGGTACATAGGGGAGCCACATGACATTTCACTTTCAAATCTGTTTTCCTTTAATTTTACTTTATTTTAGTTTTGTTTTTGTTCTCCTTTGTTGTATCAACTCAAAAAGCCACCCAGTACCAATTTCAGGAGATCACACAGCCTTGTGCAAAAAGCGTAGGTACAGAAGTCAGCCTGGTTGGAAGTTCAGCCTGACTGCTTCACTCTGTACAACCTTGCAGAAGTTAATCTCTCGGAGCCACAGTTGTGAAACAAGGAAATGTTTTACATCTTAGATCAATATTAAATATTACTTTTAGATCAATATTAAATATTAGGGTTATACATTTATATATTTGTATCTCTAATAGTATTGTTATGCTGTACTACCTAGTAAATTTAAGATTAATAATTAATGAACATCCACAATGTGCCAGACACTATGTTAACATATACAAAACCCAGCAGAGTAGGCACTCAATTGGTAGCTATTAAGAAACAATATTTCATGTAAGTATTTCATGCTCTGTGTATCTTAGATGACTGGCAAGTTCACATAAAGTATATCTCCTCTGATATAGGACACAAGAACTAGCTCTCATGAATACTGAACAATAGCTAAGTGCATGTTTTCCTTTTTTCTTTCTTTCTTTTTTTTTATGATGGGATCTTACCATGCTGCCCCGGATGGCTCGATCCTCCCACCTTAGCTGGCTTTATGGGCTTGCACCAGTGTGTCTACCTTATCATATTTTCTTATCCTGAGCTCAGTGAAGCCAACTATTCTCTCCTTATTCAAAACTACTAATACTATATACACAAAACTGATTTTAGAACATGGAAGTATTTGTAGCTGTGCTAAGATTGTCATATATACCTTTAATCCTTACACTAGCTCTAATAAAATGAATTTACAAGAGTTCCAGAGTTTCAGTGATCAGCAAGGACACACAGTAACAATGAAGCTGCAGAACCTAGGCTTGTATGGGTTCCAAAGACCATATCCTGTTAATTTTGTTTTTTTTTTATATATTTTTTTTCCTTTTTTCTTTTTACCAGTACAGGGGATCAAACTCACAACCGCCTGTTTGCAAGGCAGGTGCTTATGCCGCTGAACTAAAACCCCAGCCCTAATTTGTTTTTTTATTAACAGGATTTATGTCTCTTTTATTTGAAACCAAAAAGCATGTAATTGTGCTTCTGTGGACAAAGAAAAACATTATAATAATTTAAAAGTAACTACTTCAAGCAAGTATTCTACTTGCTTGCAAAAAATGATTATTTCTGAAAAAGTCATTAAAGTGAAATTTCTGTCAGTTTTAAGTATCTCAACAAGATAGGCTACGTGAGCTTATAAATTCATCTGACTTAGTATAACACATTGCTGTGCCCTGAACTACCAAGTATAATAACTTAGCAGAGTGCCAATATAAATCAGTGAAATAGTTTAAATATGTGTAATACAACCTTATTAATAGATGGCAGCTTTGTGTAGCCAATTTGAAGAATCAAACTCCTACTCCACTATTTGGTTACATGACCTTGGACAAGTAAGTCACTTACTCTTTCCAAACTTTAATTCTTACTTTTTAAACCCTACTCTGCAGTATTGTTGTGAGAATCAGACATTTGTAGTATAATTTCTCCATCATGCTAGTTAATGAATTAGTAAAGAGTCAATCAGTTTTTAAGTCTAAGACACTGAGTAGGCTAAATGATTTTGAGGTCCTGTTGAGATCAGTTTTAATAACTAAAAATGACAACACTATCACAGAAAGTGTTAGAAAATAGTGATTATTATAAAATATCTGAAGTTTCCCAATATGTATAAGCTTTCAACTTTTCTCAGCATTTTCTGGCTCATACTACAAATTTGCTAGAGAAATATCAAAAACATGAAACAAATGCTATAGCAATATAAAATAAGTCTCAAGCTTGTTCTCCGCTAAATCAGTATTAATGAGTTTCCTCATAGAAGCTCATATGCTTGCATTTAGGGCCCTTGCACTAAGCTTCAGCCCTTAAAAAAATTTTTTTTTTTGTTTATTGTTGCTATTTTTAAAAGGGTCTCTATGTAATTTAGGTTGGCCTTGAACTCGAAGGTATCCTTGGTGTCAGCTTGCCTAGTGTTGGGATTACTGGCATGCACCTTGACGCCTGGCTTTTAAAATTTTTATTCTTTCACTTTTAAACATTAGAGTTTCACTAAACTGCCCAGGCTGGAGTCCAAATTGTGACCCTGCTTTGGCCTCCACAGTGCTGAGACTATAGATGTGTCCCAACATGACACAAAATTTGTAAGAACAGCAAGCAACACAGCAGCTGCCTGGCAAGTGTGAAGTCATGAGTTCTATTCCTAGTACCAAGAAAAAAATTACAAATAAAACAATGTAGTTGGGGCAGTATTCTTTGATGTAAATCTGGAAGCCAGAATTTCTCATTTTTCTCTTGACTGACTCTGATAATTTAGGATAATCCTGTTTTCTAAGCTTTTTTTTTTTTTTTTTTTTCCCCTGAGACAGGGTCTTGCTATGCAGTTCAGGCTGGCCTTGAACTCACTATGCAGCCCAGGCTAGTCTTGAACTAGCAGCAATCCTCTTCCTTCAGCCTCCCTGTGTTTGGGTTTTATAGGTGTGCACCACCACACCTGGTTTTAAGGCTTTAAAAAAATAAAAAAAACCCTGACAATCGTCGTGCAATGTAAGCAAACAATATAGGGAAATTGATAGCATTTCATAGACTTGAAAATAGCAGCCAATATGGAACACCCTAGCCTTCCTGGAACTGTCTTAGCGGCCTCTTTGTAGTTAAAGAGGGCAAAGATGGCTAGCCAAATGGTTAAGCAAACTGCATAGAGAAGAAGGAAAAACGAGGAGAAAAAGACCAGCAACATCAGCAAAAGCATTTCTGGACAAGTTGGAGGGAGGGGGCATACACCCAAATTACAGTTTACAGGGGAGGTGTGGAGAGTCACCAAGCAATTGAGAATGTTGGGTAAAGAGTTCTTAAGAGGCTGAAAAACTACTTGTGAAGTAAGACCCTGCTAAAAGGCAGCAACAGCAGCAGCTTTCAGCTGGAGACGCGGTGCCAGGGAGTAAGGGTAGCGTCTTTCCTCTCCCTCAGCTGCAGAAGCCCGCCGGAGGCAGTCGCCTTTCTTTACCCCTGCGATTCCCGGTCTTCTGCACTAAGTAATCAGTCTGAAGGCACAGTAACTCAACGCACGCAGAAGCCGTTCTCGGGCTCCCACGGCTCCGGCAGCTAACATTTACAGACCAGCGAGCAGTGGACCTGTCCCCCCGCGGGACCCGAGCAGGCTGCGCTCGCGACCCCCAGGGGCTCAGGGCGCGATCTCTCGGGCCGGCACCGAGCCTCCCTCCCGCTCATCCCCTGAAACGCTCGACTCCCCCTGGCCCGCGAACTCCCGGAGGAAGGGACAGCGTCTTCCCACTTCTGCTCCCCCAGCTAGCGAGGAGTGCAGCAGCTACAGTAGGCAAGGGGGCAGGCGGGACGATCAGGAGAAAAAGGGGAGCCGCACGAGGGGCCGGTAGGTGCCGGCGCCGACGCCGGGGTGGGTGGCAAACGGCCGCGGCCAGGGCAGGGTGAAGCGCGAGTCTGAGGGCCCTACCTTGGGGTAGGTGTGCAGGGGGTAGGTCAGCTGACAGGCCCGGTGGCAGGACGCCGTATCGCCCAAGACCGAGTCGAATGCTTCGGCCGCGGCTGTCCCCGAGCCTCCGGCCAGGGCCATGGTCAGCAGTAGCAGCGGGGGGAGCCCCAGCTGGGCCCGGACCCAGGCGCTCCCTTTCGGCGCCGCCATCTTGTTCCCTCTGTCACCGCGGCTCAGCTGGTTGCTGTTTTCCTTTCAGGTTTCGCCTCCTTCCGGACCAGCCCCTTTGCTAGCCCCGCTGGTCGCCGCTTCCGCCTCCGCCTTCGTTTAGACGCCAAACTAATCGGCCCCGCCTCTGGGACTAGGAAAAGCTTCAGGGTTGGTGTGAGGAGGCGGCGCCGGACACCGACCGCCCTGGGTGCGGAGCACGCTGGGGAGTGTGGTTCCCGCGGGGCTGAGCGCGGTGCACGCTGGGGAGTGAGGTTCCCGCGGGGCTGAGCGCGGTGCACGCTGGGGAGTGAGGTTCCCGCGGGGCTGAGCGCGGTGCACGCTGGGGAGTGAGGTTCCCGCGGGGCTGAGCGCGGTGCACGCTGGGGAGTGAGATTCCCGCGGGGGCTGAGCGCGGTGCACGCTGGGGAATGTGGTTTCCCCGGCGCTGAAGCGCTAGAATCCGCGAAGCTGCTACGGTGCGTGTAGGCCTTCGAGAAAGCGTTTGTGTGGTTCCGACGCCGGCGGCCGAGCTGGAGACCTTCTAGGGTGCTCTAGGGAGGGGTCCAGCTGCTGTCAGGGCTGCTTTTCTGGTGGGTCTCGCTTCTGGCTGTGGTTAGATGCTCCTTTCCCGCCCCAGAATGCTAGGGTCAGAGAACGGTGTTGTCTTCTTTTGGGGGTCCAGGCCCTGACTGTCATGTTTAGGGTACCCTAACCAAAGAACCTGGGAGCCTGGAGATGGCTGCTTATATTGAGGACCCTGTTGGGGTCCGGAGGTGGTAGTTGCTGGTCACTAGGGCAACTCTTAGGTTGGCGCTGCGGTGGGGTAGTTAAGAGAGTCTTACTGAGCCAGGCGAAACTTGAACCCAGTTACAACCCAGCTTACGTTGAAAGGGGGGTTTCCCTGCTTCAGATTCAGCGCCTGGCCGGGTATTGAAACCCTCCACAGTGTGCGTACCCAGGAAGTAGAACTTATCACTGTGTCCTTGGCAAGACCTCCTCCCTCTCAGGAAGAAATCTGAGCTCCTACAGTGTCATCCACGAGACCCCCATAGTTTAGGAGTGCTTTCCGAAGACCTGTCTGTGGCGCTTTGGGGAGAACTATCTTGGCAGCTCGGTGAAGTTTTAAGAGTGCTGTCTCCTTGCGCAGAATACGTGAAGGTAGTCGGAGTGCCCTAAGGATGGATAAATTCGTCATTCGAACGCCTAGAATCCAGAATACCCCACAGAAGAAAGATCCTGGAGGAAAGATTTACAAGCAGGCTACGATTGAATCTCTGAAGGTGAGAAGGGATCTGGGGCTAGGGACAATGTGCAAAGGAATGTGATAAGAGCTAGTGTGCAAGACACCACCAAAGAGTTCTGTCACACCAAAGAGTTCTGTCACGGGAGAGCCAGGGAGTAGTTCTTGCTGTCCTCCCTCCCTGGAAGTGTATCTGGCCATTCCTTCTATTTCAGACTTCTGTTCATCGATTTCCTACCTCTGCCACACCATTGTAATCACTCTGCCTTTACCATGTGTTTGTCAGCACACAGGACAAGCTCTCCCCCATCGTTGTAAAAATTCTTGCCTGTTAGGAATGTGCAAGTATCGAATACTATGTGTTTCTATATGCCCTATACAAACCTAATAAGGAGTGACTGATGATTATAATACCTACTTTAATATCTTACTGGTTAGAACATATTATGTGCCCTTCACAGCTGCAGTTCGGAGTGTAAAAGAGGCTTTTAATGAGCTCTTTGCTACCTGGACTTTAGTTTGTTTTGTTAGTATGGAGGAGACAAGGAACATACCCAAAGAAGCTGTGAACATTAGTACCTAACAGATACTACTATTTCACCGAAAACAAAACAGCTTGTAGCTAGTTTTGTCACCTTGAGCCTCTCCTTTTGTATATCTGACTTTTTGTTTTCCTTTTTGCTTCTGCTTCTTCCATCTAGATTCCTAATGTTTGTGCTGCTCAGAACTCGGTTACATTTTGTGTATTTGATCAGGTGATCTTATCTATGTTAAAGCTTTCTATACTGATGCCTGCTGAACTGGTATCTTCTGTCCAGATCTCTGAAGATGAGAGGACATTTGGGACTAGAGACAGTGTGCAAAGAACTGACTGCAAAGCAGCTTTCTGAGCACTTGACCTGATTCCCCAGTTGGACTCCTGCTGTCCTGGGAGTCATACAGACTTAACAGGTCCATACAGTGTTAGCAATAAAAAAGGATATACTCAGAAGTACTGGGTGTGAGGCCCTTCTATGCAACTGGGTGATGTTTGCAAGCCAGCCTTTCTCTGGGGTCTCAGATTCCTCAGGTCATGGATGCTGAACTATGTTAGTGTTTATTCAAGGGACACAGATGCTTGGGGAGCATATTCTTCTTCATTGAAGCTATCCTGTGAGGTACAGGAGTATCCCCGACTTTCAGGATACCTTGACTCTCAGATATTACATACAAATGCATCTCATTACAGTGATCAAAAATACCTTCACTTATTTTCTAAAAGGACTTGATTGGGATGGTGATCTAGATGACTCTTAAAGTCACCTCTATTCTTGCAGTTCTACGACTTAATAGAACACATCTGAGTTTAACTTTCTGCTTTGTTAGAATATTCATATGTAACTGTACACAGCGGAGATTCTCAGTGAGTTATTGTACCATCAGGTTTTCTGGAAGACAATGGTAATTAAACTACACATACACTCACTCTGTGTTTCTTTTGAGACAAGGTCTTGTAATATAGACCGGGCTGGCCTGGAACTTGCTCTATATCTCAGGCTGGTCTTTTTTTTTTTGAGACAGGGTCTTTCTATGCAGTTCAGGCTGGCCTCAAGTTCACTTTGTAGTCTAGGCTGGTCTTAAACTCGCAACCATCTTTCTGCCTCAGCCTTCCGAGTGCTGGGATTACAGGCATGAGCCACCACGCCTGGCTCCCAGGATGGTCTTGAGTTTGCTATCCTCTTGCCTCACTCCCTAAGTACTGGGGTAATAGGCGTGTACTACCATGGCCAGCTTTACCCGTATTTTAATATGCCCCCTCCCCTCTTGCTTGTGCCCCAGTTAAGAATCACTGAGTGTAATGATGAAAGTAAATGGTCATAGTGGTACACAAGTAATCCCAGCATTCAAAAACTGAGGCATACGGATCACCATAAGTTCAAGGCCAGCCTGGGCTACATAGTGAATTCAAGGCCAGTCCTTGAATTAGAGGGACCTTGTCTTAAAAAAGGGGGTGAGGGGGCTGGGGGTTTAGCTCAGCGGCATAAGCACCTGTCTTGTAAGCAGGCAGTCGTGAGTTCGATCTCTGGTGCTGACTTAAAAAAAAAAAAAAAGACTAAAGATATAGCTGAGTGATAAAGCTCTTGGCTTCTATGCATGAGCCCTGGGTTCGATCCCTTGCACCACAAAAAAATAAATGATATGTTGGGATCAGAATAAACAGTAGGCATATGGAATAACATCCCCCTTAGCTCTCCCTTAAATGTATTAGCTTTTCTCCCAAATGTGTTGCTTATTCTCCTGTATTTATGTCTCTATTATGATGTAAATAGGAAGCATGTCCTAAAGATTCATGTATTCAAAGCTTGATTACCAGTATAGCACTGAGCCTAGAGTGGTGATTGGATTGACCTTTTAGGAGACAGGGTATAGTTGGAGGAGGTAGGTCATTGGTGGTATGCTTTTGAAGGATATATCTTGTCCCCAGTAAGTCCTCCTTTTTTTCTTACTCCTCTTCTTCCCCTTCCTTCTCTTTCTTCTCTCCTCTTTCCACCTTGTCTCTCCTCTCTCCGCTCCTTCTGTCTCCCTCTGGCTTCCGTGTGATCAGCAGCTTCTCTGTGCCACACCCTCTGCTATAGATTGTGCCTCACCACAGGCCCACATCAATGGAGCCAGCTGACTGTGGATTCCGAAACTGTGAGCCACAATAAATCTTCCGGGGTTGGGGATTTAGCTCAGTGGCATAAGCGCCTGCCTTGCAAGCACGTGGTCATGAGTTCAATCACCGGTACCGATAAAAAAAAAAAAAAAAAAAAAAAGAATTGCTGGGACAAGTCCAGCAAGAGTGACAAAATAAATCTTCCCTCCTTCAAGTTGATAATTTCAGGTATTTTGTCATAGTGGCAGAAAGCTAACTAATACAACCTCTACCAAGTGACTGGGACTAGAAACCTGGGAACTATATTCTGTTTTTTCTTTTACATTCAATTTGCAGTTCTTCCTAAAAATTTCTTGCCTGTACTCATGTCTTTAGCATTAAATTTGAAATTGTATTTCCTCATCTAGAGCAGTACTGTGGTCTACTGACTTGTCTCCATGCCCTTAGCATTCCTTATTCTCCCCTCCATGCTCATGCCAGAGAAATAATATACCAAGCAGGAAAAAAAAAAAAAATGTCCAGGTCATCTCTCTCTTAATCCTTCGGTGTTTTCTCCTTAACTGTTTTTTTTTTTTTTTTTTTTTGTCTTTTTCATCTTTATCAGGACCGGTTATCGAACTCAAAACTGCCTGCTTACAAGGCAGGTGCTTACGCCGCTGAGCTAAATCCCCAGCCCCTCATTAACTGTTGAGAATGACATTTCTTTGTATGGTGTGCAAGACCTTCCATAACCTGGTACCTGTGCCTGCTGTTTTTCTTGTACTCTGTCCGTTGTTAACCCCTCACAGTTCACCAAAAATGAAGCGCTCTGTTTCACTCTGTCCCTTTGATTGCTGTCTCGTTTGCCTTCCTCCATGTCCTGCAGTCTGTTGTAGTGCAGTCGCTGGAACATAGACTCTGGAGCCAAGCTGTGAAAATTCTAGTTCTGCCTTTGTGACCTTGAACAAGGTATTTGATCTCTTTATATCCTCATCAATAAAATAGGGATTAATAATACCTATTTTATAAGGTAGTGTGGGGTTTGACAAGTCAATATATAGTCTAGGAACAGAATCTGACAGACACTAAGTACCACATGCCTGTTTGCTATTATTATTTATTGCCCATGATCTGGTTTAAGAGCCCTCTCTACCATCCTCTGAGCCATCCTTGTAATTTAAACAGTCCCTCTACCATGCCACCCATTTATGCTGTATTTTTTCTTTACGTGGATGTGCTCCACATGTTGAGCTTCTTTTTATTTTCAGTATTTTTGAGACAGGATCTCCCTATATAGTCCAGGCTAGCCTTGAACTCTCTGTGTAATGCAGGAAAGCCTCTCTGTTAGAGAAAAGAAACAAATCACATATAAAGAAAAGCCCATCAGAATCATGAATGGGTTTTGGGTTTTGAATCTATTGCAAGATCCTGCCTCTGTAATTTATTGGAGAGGAGAAGAAGTTGCTGCCTATTTGGCCCTTGATCTTTGGCACTGGTCTATACTACTGTTTATGACCCTTAGACAATCTCAGTCTTAGGATGTCAGGAAGAACAACTGATTAGAACAATTAGGTCACCTTGGTTAAAGTGATACAATCAGCAATAACAATAACATCAAACATAGAAAATGACAAACTAGTAGCAATTAATTTGCCACCTTTTAGCTGCGTTAACTAGATTGGTGGCTAAAACAAGCCAGAAAATTGTATACAATGAATAAACCTACAATATAACAGTTTTAAACTCAGGGGAAAACATTTAAAAGGTATTGGGGGGAGAAATAGAAGAGAAAGAAATTAAGACCAGAGGACAAGGGAAGATCATGCAAACTCTGGGAACCTGGTGAAGAAGACAGGAGGGAAAGAGAAGGAAGAAATAAAAACAAGAGCAAAACAGAACAACAAAAAGCTAGAAACCATGTTCATACTAATATTAAAACAAAACAAGTGATCAAGAAAAAACAAAAAGAAAAGAAAAGAGGAAAAAAACCCCTCCACTTCAAGGCGTATCTCTGCTGTCACTGATAGACAAGATGGGCAGAGTCTAGATGTGCGTTGATTAATCCCAGCCAGTCTACCTTCAGTTCCACTGAGGTTCAGTATAGTTTCTGGCTGTGAAGGTGGAACCCAATTTATTCACCTGTGATATTGTGCACGTTTCCTGCCAGCTTGAACTCTGCAGCCTCATCCTGAAACTGGGAGCTGCTAGATGGAGGTGGCCCTGCTATTCTGAGTTGTGAGCTCATTTGGCCCTCTCCAAGATGGTGACCAGCCAATCACTCTTTTCTAGGGGACATCAGAACCTGAATAACTCTCCAGCCACTGCAGTTGGTGTGTCCACTGCTCTGTCCACTGCTGTGTTTCTCCGTGGAGGCCTCTGAGATTGCCAGTAGCCACCGTGCATCTGTGTGTTAGGGCTTCTCTCTG